ATGGTCAACAGTGTTGTCGCGACGCCTGGTGAACACAAACGGTCTGCGGGCGCGGGAGGGCGATAGATTGCGGTGTCGGGGTCGCGGCGCGGCAGGACCAGCCGCGATGCCTCGGCCCACCCTCACTTTCATCGTGTCGGGCGTCGAGGACACGTGTGTGGTGCACCGTCGCTGTCAGGGGGGATCGATCGATCCTACGCGCGCGTGATCGAGGCCCCGCGGAACAAACACCGTCTATACATACACATATAGCACAGTGCACGAGGAAGAATCGTGGGTAGGAGATAACCGGCCTGACCGTCGATCGGCGGCCTTGATGCTCGGCGACACACATCACCGCGACGCCCGTGAATATTTCACGGAACGGTGTATCGATCGATCTAGTGCATAACAGAACACGTGTGTGTGTGTATGCGTGTGTGAGTGTTGTGTGTGTCAACCGCGATCGTGTCTCGGTGATTCGGCATCGGTGGAAATCCACGCACCCCAGAGCGCCTACAGGTACCCAAATAAAGATCGGATCGGTGGACCAGCAACCACATCCTTCGTTATACGTGTCGCGCAATATAATTGTCACACACACACACACACACACACACACACACACACACACGCACACGATCTCAGACACTTTATGGCTTGTTTACGTCCAATGTACCGTTTGTCCTGTTCTTGTTCCTATGGATTGTGGCGTGGATCGTGGTGTGGATCGTAGTACAACGTGATTATACGTCGCATCCCATTGTGTGTGTTTCTGTAAGGCCTATCTTGCCAGGGGGGAGGGGATGATTCTGTGTATGATTACTCGTTACGTGTTGATCCCTGAGGACACCTTTATCGCACGGGACCTTATCCCTGGGGGCAGACACATATGTTCAATGGTAGTAGACTTTGCAAACACCACCGGGGGCTGGACGTTGTTCGGTTCTAATATTCGTTCTGTGGCTTCGCTGTGTTGTTCTTTTTTGTTCTTTTCTTGTTTCCCTAGATAGTAGTGAAATAATCGAAGTGTTTTCCTCGAAGTGTAACCGGCTGGTACTCTCTGTGCACTGTGCCGTTGCTTGGGCTCTGTCTCTGCTTTCCGTGTGTGGCCATCCAGAGAACAGTTTGTGCATGTGACCGTACGGGGAACGCCATGGAAGAACAGCGCGGCGATGAAAAGGTGGTCCATTTTTCCCGTGCCTCTAGGCGAAACGGGAGGAACGCACGATTTTTTTTTTTTTAAACCATCGAGCTTGTAATCTTCGCGAGGCGCGCCTAACGACACATTGGGACGACGGTTTTGCCTTGTAAATCACGACCAGGGACGGTTACTGTCGCGGGCCAACCGAGTGTCGTAACTGACGGCGAGTCGAGACTTAACGGAGTTGGAGGAGAAACGGCGGTTTAACGAATGACGTTCATTAATTCGGGACGCTGACAAGTTGAGATCCCCAGGTGTAATGTTAACTTTTTAATAAGAGTTTAGCACAGTGATAGAGCTTGAAAGTCTAAAACCAATGATGTTTCTTTCCGTCGTATTTGGCCATTAGTTTATGAGATATATAATATTAAAGTTATAGCTAGACTGCGGATTTTTGTTTGAGAAAAACTAAATCGCTATAATTACATGTATCCTAAAACTAAAGGTAGACTGTTCGAATCTGTTCTGTGATATTTAAGGTTTCTGATATCCGTTGTTTATTGAAAGAAGTAGGAAGAAAATTGTATTTCTGGCGTGTCAATTTAAAAATAGACCAGCGAAATTATTCCTCCTCGTTCACCACGCTACATTCGACGCAATGGGATATTCTAGAAATGTATAAAGTCCGCTTTAATACCTTTCTTTACGATCTTGGCTCTGTTTAGTACTTCGCCGAATCACCTTCGAGTATACACGCACGGCCAGATCGAGTAGGGAAACGTACAAAATTGTTCTGTTGCACTTGCGCCGCGCGACATCCAGATTCTCATTCAATTCTTCACACGCTATAATCGATTCGAAGATTTCTTTATAGGAGTGTCGAAGAGGAAGAATGGATTTTTTGGTCCACGAGGAAGAAAAATCGTTTGTCATCGTGCACGTGGCACCATTAGTCTTCCTCCCTCGAAAAATCCTGAATGAACGGATCCGTGACTCCATGGACCGTTCTTCTTTTTTTCTTTTAACCGGATGGTTGATGATGAAGAACTGGATTTCGTTGGATCCAAAAGATTCTGAAAACTCAATTTATATTCCTCCATGAATAACACTTTCCACGAAGTTAATGGTGAGAATCGAACAGATTGTGGTACAATGTTAGAAAACAAATGATTCTCGATGTCATCTTATTCTCGTAGCTTCGAATTCGAAGATCAATGTCACCAGTTCCGAAATATCGTTCTGTTCGACTCAGGGAAAGCTTAAACCTTCGATTAATATGTATAAAATAATCTTGGATCCATAGTATTGTTGTAAACGTTCACAACAATATCGGACGAAACATTTGTAATTCCAACATTAACGGTTGTTCTCCATCCCTTCAACCGTTGTCAGTATTCTCCAAAAATCGAAAGCTGTCCACAGTATTTCATTTAATTTTTACGGGTAACAGCCCTTTTTTTACAATCTTTTACAGTGTACGATGGAAATGTTCTTATCTATCCAACATCGTAAGGTTCGTGACAATCACATCAGAAAAGTAGACAGTATATCATCAAGTACGTGCACTGTAAATTTGTTGCTTAAAGTTGCTCAGTGAATTTGTAAAAAAATCTATTCGGTTCCAGTAGAAACTTGCAGTGTTGTAAATTCTGGTGATAGGGTCAGTTGAGTGGAACCTCGAAGAGTATGACGTTTCGCGATTTTCCCCGACAATGAATTTATCGCCAAGATTGTATGAATCAAACGCTAACCGTGAAGTGACAACAGCTCCGCACATGCACACTCGAGTCGACGATTTCGTTCGGGGAGCTGTTCGCGATCCACCAGCTGCGCCGTGGACGACGGAACGCTGTCGTGACTAGATAGTCCTTGCGGCTGCGGGGCAGATCAATCGGGACGTCGCCGACTATTAAAGTCAGCGTCGGCCCGATCGAGCGAACAGTCCTGGTGTGACGAAGAGGCCGGCTCTCTTCGAGTTTACTCGTCGATCGCGCGTTGATACCGTGATATCGTCGCTCCGCTCGAAAGGCCGCCTAGGAAATTCGATCGACATCTACAAGATCAAAGTGACAACGAAAACCATCGGTTTCGAACGTGTACAATCGTTTCACGTGTTAACCACCGAATCCGAGCCCGATTATCATCTGCATTCCCATTCATAAGTATTAGTATTAATACTTATTGTACATGAAGTAAATTAAATAAGGCATTGCGAAATTATTAAAGGTCTGAAATAAATATTGTCTAGGGAATTTCAAAGCTCTATGGAGAACAGTTACAATAATGTAAACTAGTTAAAGTGGCATCAAAACATTTTCTTCATATAGGCCAGCTGTCCTAGTACTTATGAACGGCAGTGTACATTCTCGAACCTGTTTCACTTGACTTCGATTCGAATTTATAAAAAATGAGTTCCACGGAACGTAATTCCAGGTTCCTAGGGATATCGTGAAATAGAGTCGGAAGTTTCACAGTGTCATGAAAATAGCTCCCAGGGAAAGTGTTCCCGAGGCGTGAGTTGCTCGTTGAAACCCGGTCGCAAATAAGTTTCGAAGCTGGTGAGAAAGAGAGAGAAAAACTATATAAATCAAATCGGAGATCCCCCGTAATAGGAAATCAACGAAGATCATCCACGTATGTCCCCAGGATTGACACGCGATCCGTCATTTCCCGTTCGACCAGGCCGCGATTATAATCCCGAGAACCTTGGTGGTTCTCGTGCCGAACTAAATCGAGCGTGTACCATCTTTACGCTAGAGTGTCCGACGACACACAGTCTTTAGATTTGTGTTCGTTGTGAGACAACCGACAAAATTGTCGTTGGGGTCTTCCTTCGTACAGTGAAAACACGAGGGGTAGAAAAGGGGTGAAATTAAGGTGGATAAAAGGCGAAGGGGTGTGTGTGTGTGTGTCTGTGTCGGTTGGTCCGAGGGTAAAAATAGACACCTCATCTATGAGCACTGAGATTGAAAGGTCTACTAATTGGCTACCAGTCAATAAAGTATTACAATGACTACTGGTTCTTGATTTAATGAAAAAACAATTGTCCTACAAGATACCAAAAAGATGCAGCGAGCGGATTAACGTCTCTGCAAACCCTTCTGGTTGACCGATCTAGTCTACGAACCGGTTCTGTCTGCAGCTGGGAAACCCCTAGCTTTCGTTTATTTTTCGTTCCTATCGTACACACGTTTGATACCATATTCACAGGTGGAGGAAAGTACGTTTCCTTAAGGCCTTAGGTCTCGATACACCCCATTTGGACAACAGCCTTGTTGAACCCACACGACTCTCGGGCGCAAGTGCAACAACAGTTGCGGGGTCGGAAGTCTCGGCAGCCTTTCTATCATCGCTGACTACAGAAACACGGTTTACGGTGCATTTATATTGTCCGTTCCGACACCGACCGGTACCGACGCAGGCTCACGATACAACGTAAGCAGGAAGTATAACAGGATAGTATAAACATATAGAACGGATAGTATAAAAAGCCCTATAAGAAAAATACCCAGAAGAAAGTCTGTCGGTGCCGGGCCATGTTTGATCGGATAATATAAATGTACGTTTAGGCACCCCCGTATGGAAAATCGCTCCAGGTGTCTCGAGAGTACAAGAAAGTATATCGGATATATCGCAAGGGACTGCGAAAGGGAGACAAAGCGTGTGTAGGTGACGGTCTGTGTGTAGGGACGCTTTCGTGATCATCGAGCACCACCACCACCCACCGCCGCTGCTTTGTTCCAAGCGTTTTCCAAAAAAAAAACAAAAAACCAAAAACAAAACAAATCAGTCGAAACACGACTGACCATCTGTCACATATATATACATATATATAACACAGCGACAACGTCGAAAAGCACAGTCGTCATTGTCAGTCATGAATCTTATGTTCCGCAAGAACTTCGCCGGCGAGAGGGGGCTCGGTGGTGGTGGAGGAGGAGGAGGAGGAGGAGGAGGCGGAGGCGGATTGGAGGGTCGTACGACCCTCGGCGGTGTATACGGGTCCGGCTCGTTGGGGTACACGGGTACCAGATTCGGCGTGGTGCGCGGCGCCGGCCAAGCGGCGGTCGGGCCCCGCGGACAGATCAGACGTAGCAAGGAGTTCGGTTACTTTCCATCGATGGCCGATCACGAGCACCAGGGATACGCGTATCGGACTCATCTGTTCCTCACTCCGCCGTCAGGCGGCGCCCTCGGCTCGCCGCCCGAGGAACCGTCCGAGAGACTAGGACCCCCACCCCGGAAGAACTCGGGGCCGCACGTGATCAAATGGGGCGGGGGCGGCGGCAGCGGACTGGGACAGGGGTCCGGGGCCGGTAGCCAACCGAGGAGGAAGATCCAGCAGCCGAAGGAATTGTCCGAGCCGCCGACACCCACTGCCTCTAGACAGGTAGGCGGTTCTTGTGATTCGTTAACACATTCTATGCGGGACACCGTATATAATATATATATATATATATATATATATATATCTATATATATATATATCAAATAAGGTATAATATATTTCAAATATATTAGGAGCGAGTAGTTTTACATTAAGAATGTACCTAAACAACAAATCCTACTGCCGGATGAGAGTTACAGTTCTAATTAAAAAATGTGATAAAGAAAAGTATTTTTTATCGTTTTGAAGTCTATTGGAATACTTATAATAACATATTGATACTAAATACAGAAAAAAAAGAAAAACTTCATTTCTCCAGGCCATGGAGTCGGAAAAACGAAACACATTAAAAAGTTATAACTTTTGGAACAGTACCTACCCCCCAAACGTGTATCGTCCAGCAAATATCCAAACGACGAGCAACTCCACCTGGAAATTATATCTTGTAACCTCATCCCTCCGGACAAGCCAGGTCTAGCTATCGACGAATGTCCGAGCAAGGTCGGCCTGGCTACCTGAAACACGGCCATCCGGACACTCGTGACGATATTTCAGCGGAAAATGCACCGGGGGATGCACGTACGACGGACACGTACCTACCCGCCGGAGAAGAACGACGAGCAGTGGGTTCGAGTCACGGGATAGGAGGCCGGAATTATGGCGGAAACGAGCGGCCGTGCACGGAAAGGGCAACATAAAGTTACACCTACGCCCCCATCTCCCCTTCCCCTCCTTAGATCGCTGACCGGCACGCAAACTCCCTATCGTATTGCACGCCAAGGCGGATCTCGCGACGTGCCATAAATTTTGGGGGAGCCGGTCGACCATGTCCGATACTCGCCGCTCATTGTGCCCATTCCGCGGCCCTCCCGTTCCTGTTCCATTCTGAATTCCGTGTTGGATCGCCAGCTCCGACTTACCGTTTCGCCGACTGGATCCTTGGGAGTGGCCCCTGGGCCTCGTCCAATCGAACGATCGCCTTTTCTGAAACGACGACGGTGTGGACTTGCAGACGAGTATCAAAAAATGATTATAGTAGGGCAATCTTTCTAGATTAAAAGAACCGAAGAACGAACTCGATACGATGAATAATTTCCGAGATATAAATTCTTAAGCACATCCCTGTTTCAGGAAAATAGGCAAAAATCGTTAACTTCGACGGCCTGTATCTTTATAACAAAATCACGAACAGAAAAATAATGACTTAAGCAACCCTGACTTGACTTGACTTAAAAATCCTTGATAACGAGTGCAAAAAGTGATCGATTTCGCGTGGAATGATCCAGAGGATAGGAATCTATGGAGAATTGAGGGTGGCAGAAAAAGGTGGGACATGTCCGTATATAGAGCAATAAATGTTGAATGACTTAATGTCTACACGGTGGAAATGTAACGTTCCATATGAATACAATGAACAAAGGTAACAATCGTAAACAAAGGTGTGTATATGTATTCCATCGCGCATGGCTGCACCGGCGGAAGCAACAGTGTTAAAGTTTTATGGGCGGCGCTCGGGCAAATTTGAAAATTTGTTCACCATGCATTCAGTTCCCCGGTGGAACGTGAAAGGAGCCCACCGTCCGTCAGGCCGACTTTTACAGCATCCATCGGCAGGATATACACGAAGTCGGAGCGTGCACGATACCAGAGTGTAAATGTGTCCGGGGCGCCGACGTCTACCTTCGCAAACGTGACACGCCGCTGCTTCGCGAAGACACGACGAACTGTCCTTCAACAGAATAGAAAAATGGGGGACGGGAAATTGGAGTGGAAATTATTCCGCGTGTCAACCTAGAAGACAACTCGCGGAACCACGCTTCGATTACCGTGTCAGTCTCTGCGAATACGTTAATACGTTACGAACCTAGTTCTTGATCACTTAAGAGTAACAGTCGCGATTTTTTAAACGTATAAGTAAAAAATTAACCAAATCCATAAGAACTGTTGTTGTTCGAATAAATATATGTTTTATCTTTAATTTGGTATTAAGAAAAGTGCAGAAATAGTAATACAATGAAATTATAAATTAACATTTAAAGTACAAAGTGCAAAGGGAGAAATTTCTGATCACCTCAACCATATGTCTGTATCTCATTTGGAGCTGTCGAATTTTACGGTATAAATTTCAAGATAGTAATAATAATTATCAGCTAATTGTTTGGAAAAAAAACCTTTATTACAGTAAAGACACCGGAGATAAAATAGACACTCTCATGAGGAACTTCTTATCCAACTCTCATCGAGTCTTTACTGTATAAAGTATGTATATGTATACTAAATTGATCAGGAACTGGGTTCTGATCGAGATCTGGGTCCGTGATAGTAGTACTATGATTCTCTGTTCGATGAAACGAAAATGGATACCTACTGAGTAACGCGCGCGCGCACTCCCCGAACCGAAATGTCAAAAAAAGTTACCGGGCGTCCAAATGTCACCATAAATCACCGGGACACCGCATCGGACCACCCCGAGAGAACAATGAAAGGAACTGCGTTAACCTACATAACGGAGCGGACCAGGTATCGACTTCTGAACTCACTTGTTACTAGTGGGTGCCATTCGACGGGTACCCGGGACCGTTAAAAATGCAACGAACCCCGTTGTGCAGGGGCACGAGAACCTCCTGGTGAATATGGAGTCGAACCGTGACGCCTACCTTCCTGTTTACAATCAGTAGTAAAGGAACATGCATCCGGCTACGTGCTCGCGTACGACGTGTTCCTTACTTTATTCCTTTCGCGGAACAACGTTATATAGACGGTTGGGGACCGTTTTATTGTGTCGTCAAAGACGGAAGATCATTCTTCGGAGGATTACGATAGTGTGTACCAATAAATATGTAAAATTGAAACCGAACCTAGCTCTTTTTTGAAAGGTCTCTTCGTCGAATTCTTTTTAAGTGGTAGAGTTAAACGAAACACCCTGTATATCGGGTAATTAAGGAGACTCGATGTGTTTATAATACATACGTTTTAATCTATAAATCGAAAAACTTATCTTTATCGAAGTATAGTAGACTCTTACGATATTACCGCCTGGACTATTACCACGCGAGGCACTTCCCCTGCACACGTACTTTCACGCAAACATTCGTTTTCCCACCTCGTTGCGTACGACGTCGCCACGACGGGAGCTCTCTACTCGACGCAATGCCGTTCCCGAGAATTTTCCGGTCGTGGCCATATCGTAAGAGTCCACTTATTATATTATTTTCCTCGGGAATCAGTACCCAGTGAATATACCGAAATATAACACATTTGTCGCTCGTTGTAGGGTACTTTAGACCCGTCGAGCAAATTTCCCGGGGTTTGGACGGAATTCCTCAAGTTTCGGGCAAAGTTAATTATCAGCTTGTGTTGTGTGGTGCTCGTAGGTCTCCTTCACCGGGAACCGAGCATCCGGCGCCTACACGCCCCTGGTGGTTTCCGGGAACAGTCCACCGCGCGGCGAACCGATCTCCCTGGCTACCTTGGACCGAGACTGCTTCATCATTCCCCTCGCCTCTCTCGAACGGTTTTTACCGGCTGGAGTACCGGTACGTGTCACGAATTTTCCCTTGGAACACTTTCCGTATAACAACTTACTTGACTTGCTTTGAATTGGAGTGGTAAGTTACTGGTTTAGTTTACACACGGTACTTAAATGGCTTTCGATGCTTGCACACCGTAGAAAATACATAGTATGTATGTAGTATGGATATAGAACCACAGAGGGTTAAACCTAATCCTAATAGCAACACATAGAAAATAATTATTAGATGTCGAAGGAAAAACGAAGTAGAAAAAGGTAGACGAAAGTTCTAAGTGACCAGAACCAATATTTTACCGCAGTAGAACGAAGAACGTAGTACCACACTATATTAATGTTTATTTTTGGTATACTCTTAATTTTTCGTGATTCTCTTTCGATACGTTCGCCGTGCCTTTCACAAAAGCGTGTTTCGCAACGGAGCTATACATATTTCACGGCACGATCACCGGGACGTTGTTGCATGCGACGATGATCGATTAAATTGGATCGCTATAAATCGTTCGAATCCGGGGGGATGTAGTCGGTTCCTCGGCCAGTCGAGGACGAAATAATAGAATCCGTCGACACGTACCTCCGCGTCCGATGACGCATCGCGTTTTGGCGAATCGGGTCGACGGGATAACTCTATCGTCACGAGATAATATTTTCATGCGTTCTGAGAATTTCTGCGAACTGTCCGGCCCTCGGAGCTACCGTTGATCGGGACCACACCTGCTAAAACCGGAACGCTCGAGTTATTGGCCTTAGGTTGTCTCTTTTCTAACCACGACCAGACCGCGACCTTGCTGGCCCGGCCTCAAACGCTTAAAAATAGACGAAAGCGTCAGAGACTCGGAACAACAGAACGCGTGAACGGACCAATAACGCGTCGTCGAAGCGGAAGTGATACGGCGGCGTACTGCTCGTTAAAAATAAAATATACCATACTTAACACCATTCACTATTTTAACACCTATGAACTCGTTTGTCGAGTGTGACTCGACATCAATTTCATTCATAGGTATATACTCCTATGTCGAATCACACTCGACATACACAAAGTGCTAATTTACGTATACATATAATTAGTAAAAAAAAGTTTGTTTAAATTCGTTCCGATCAACCAACTGTCTTTTGAAGTGCCATTTAAAAGAAAACGCCTAAAATAGTAACGTTTACTTGGAACGAAAATTGCGCAAGTACTAGAGGTGCAAAAAGGGTTAATGCATTCTGTTTCCAATCACAGCTTTATTCCAACTGGTTCCAGCACGCGCCGATCGCGGACAAAAAACGACCAGGTAGCCCGTTGTCGGTCCTCGAGGTCGAGGATCCGAAGCAATGTGTTCTGGCGCACTTCATGACGCCGCTGGAGCCGTTGGATCCATTGGTCGAATCTCCAGTTTCCCGTCCGTTGGTCCTGCAACGCGACACGGCTGCCGAGCTGGTCGCCGAAATCGCGCCATCCGCTTCCCAGAGCATTCTGCTCACGAACATGGAAAAAAATGGTAATTCCTACGACCACGGCACGTAATAGATTAGATTTGATTTTATCAAATTATGTCCTCTTCGATACCAATCAACTTTTGTTTGAAACACTTTACGGTATCACAAATAACATCAGAGATATTCGAGAGGGTCGATCCAAATGGGACACCCTGTATACTTCCTTCGTAGAACCAATACGGTAGTTTTCGCATGGGGATTGAAAAGCGAGAATGCCATTAGTGGATCATAGATGTAATTTAATCCTCGAATGGGATAATTTCAGCCGATTTCCCGTTCATCACGTACTACCTAATAAACAAACAGAACACGGATCCCGTGGATTTTTACAACGAGGTCCAATGCGCCGCCTTGAGGAAATTCGATCCTCGTGATCTTCGATACGCGGCCAGCCACACGCTCGATTTATTCAACGAAGTGGCGACCATAGCCAGGCCGCCGTTGGAACCACCTGGCGTTCGACCGCCGATTCCGTCCACCGGTTACATTGTCTCGATCTTCAAGGTATTCGAGGGCGATGACGGCCTAAAGTTCGAACAGAACTGGCTCTACTGGACCGGTACATGCTTTTACTGTCTTTTAAATTCGACCTGCATTACCAAAAAGTAGCACGTTTCATTTGAATTTCAAACAACAAAATTTTCCAAACATTTTTTGTCTACAATTGTTCAGTCCCAGATGAATTGAAGGTCATTTCAAGATCACAGTGTATTAGGTGGTTGAACCCGCCCAAATTGCGATAAATCGTCCAATTTGGCGACACTTCTTTAGCTCGTTGAGATCTCCTTCAAGAATACCCACGTGGTCTGAACCAAGGCAAATGGTTTTTGTTCGCAGGTGCCCGCATGATGTACCGATATCTCCCGAAATCGGTGGGCTTGAGACGTATCACGCTGCATAAGTCGATGTCGCAGGGCGACAAGATGTACCTATTGATCTGCGAGTGCTCGCAGCTCCAAGACAATCTATCCGCGGCGGCCATATTGTTGCCGGCGTTACGCGCCCGTCTGTGCGGCTACACCGGTCTCTACAGGCCTTCGGTGTGCTTCTGATTCCTCAAGAAACGCCGACGACGCACCCGTAACGGCGTGCTTCAACCATCCGGCCGGGCCACCCTGTGAAACTTCTCCGTACAGGGGAATCACGAATATCATTGGAGAATCAACAAACTACGTCTGTATACATATGTATGTATACATATATACAGTGACACGCGAATTTGTTCATATACTTTTGAAACAATAATTATGTGTAAAAATTTTGATGCATTCTCCATTTCGACATGTTCTGTTGTCCTTTCCTGGTATATTTTTCATAATTCTGAAGTAAAATTCATATTTTCGCTACGTAATATGGTCCAATAAATTCTGAAAGCCTTCCATAAACAAATTTTTTAGTCACTGTATATGTATACGAAAGAAATCGCCGGGGTCGTTTGCTCACGTCCACGCTCAAAAAAGAGTGAACAATCCGCAACATGCATATTCCTCGTGCAAATACAAATCCATTTCCCATATATTAGCAGTTAGACGAACACCAATCAGCTAAGCGATGACTTGGTTCGTGCGCTTCTTGACTGTGTCTGCGCGTATGTGTGGCCCATCGCTATGCTAACTGGAGTTGGTCTAACTGCTAATATCTCGGAAATGGAGCTGCGGATTACAAAACGGTAAAGGACTTTTCAATTGGCATGAGGAATATACATGTTGCGGATTGTTCCATCTTTTTAGAACACCATGTATAATAGTTCAGTCGCGATACAATACACACTAGTCAACCGTGAGGTTCAATCTCGAGAGGAGCGTGTGCTTGCAAGAGACTCCGTGGAGCATTGTTCGGGGATACGAGGGAACCTTTATACAGTGGCTCGTTTCCTCAAATCGTGAAACCGATGCCAGGTAATATCGGTAGCCAGCCAGCTCGAAAACGATACGATCTTCTGGTTCCCTCGGTTTTATAAAGTTCATACTTATTTTCTTACACCAACGTGTGTGTACTATCAACGATGTTAGGCCGGGGGTTCACGGTGACGTTGCACGCTTCTTACGACTTTTATCGAGCTTGGATGCCCATTTCAAGTTCAGTTGACTCGGCCGAAACGACAGCCACCCCCAGCCACCCTCCCGGTGATCGCGGCGAAGGGACATACACATACTCGTGTTACGCTTTAGGGGAAATATCTCAACGAAGAAAAGAATCTTGTACGCTTCGAGGGGGGCCCGCGCAGCGCAACCCGTCTAGTTACGCCTCTGGCCAGTTTGTATTTTTCGACTTTACACATTTCATCCGACGTTTATGCGATAAACGTATTATTGCAAAACGCGTCCCGCTCGATACCCCGAGGGAACGCGCGCATCTGCATGTATATAGAAGGACACAGACAGCAGACAGATATATAAACACTCACATATTATACTCGATAAAACTGTGATATTCGAACGATTCCCGTATATATCACACGGATGAGAAAACGAACGTATCGCGAGATACACTTTTTGACCGATACCACACCCCCTTCTGCCCCCTCGAATCTATATATTATCTCTCTTGGTAAACGGTAGTAGTCTTGCGATAATCAGTTAGACGGAACCGGAAACTCTCGAACGGTTTCTAGAGGTCACCACGTGGCCGAGGAACGCTACGTAAATTAATCCGAATCTTTTATCGATTAATATTTCAACACCATTTGATATTACATACCCTTGCCTGGATTCGTCGATACTCGCGGTGTTTCGATTGCGTGTGACACACAGGGGTCACGGACGATCTATAACTTCGAGGCTTAAATGGCGACTTCCATCAAAATCGACCCCAGTAGAAATCGATTTGTGATGCTCTATACTCTATACCGTTTTTCGTGATCGATATCTACAAGAAAATGGAACGGACAAACGAGTCACTATTTAATTTTTTAATTTATAGCCCGGACGACCCCTTAAGATCGAAAGGATATATCTCTCTCGTCCTTTTTCTCGGGAGTGGGTATCAACGCAGGGAAAGATTATTTAAAAAAAAAAAAAAGAATCGTTCTTAGGCGCCCGGTAGAAGTTTCTAGAAAGAAGACGCGCGTAGCGTGAATTGGCGTTGTAGTACAAAAAAAAATGAGAAATCGTACGAAAAATCAAAATAAAAACGTATAGTCAATATACGCTTGTTGCATACAGACAATAGCTAGAATGATTGCGCAGGCGCGATCGGTAACGTAGATTTTTAAAGACACACGTGTCGACGGCGTATACTTACAATACGTCCCCTTACGTACTCGCTGAAACAAAAACGTGGAACAAAACGCGCACTTTAAGTATAAGACGACGAATAATAATCATTGGATCGTCCGGTGAATTGGTAACGATTTTTCGACTAGGCACTCGGATGAGCGTTGGATACGCAACCCTTAACCTCTTGAGGGTACTGGCTTCAATCATGGTTTTCATTCATTCCAGCATACTTACTTCCAAAGATATACTGATTGAATAAACACTCACTCAGAAGTTTCCTAATAAAAAAAAGAATAACCTACCAATTGATTGTCATTAATATTCATAAATATGTTTTAATACACCGAAGGAGAATGTAGGAAATTGTCCAAAATAATCGCATAGTTACTGATTCTATGGGACGATCCGATCGAAGATGAATTAAAAACAAAACACACACAAGTGAACAAATGAAAACTCGCGATTTTACTGTGATCCCACGTGTATCGCGGCGGAAAACGATACACGGAATTTCGTATGTGCGATTGAGTGCGGTGGCGGCGGCGGCGGCGTCGGAAACCGCACGCGCGACTGTGTGTCTCGATACGTGAGGTGTGATTGGTGTCTGCCACTTTTCAGGCGAATACGCACCGTTTCGCCCGAATAAAACGAGTTTCTTTGCCTGCACAAGTTTGGCTACGTGAATAATACCTTTGCTCCGCGACGGGAGTACGCCTCTTCAGGGTAACTTAACGATCGGATCACGAATTTGGATCCAAACGGCGATCCACGGATATCGTTACGTCGAGGACAAAAATCAGATTGTTCGGGACATTGATACTTCGCAATTACAATAGGTTTATTATATCATGTACAACGAATACGATGAAGTTAATAATAAATCACTTCTAATATTACAATCATAGGAACAGTGCCTCTTTTCTGTCCCCGTGAACTGTCACGCTGTTTGCCAGTAACTGATTTTGTAGTTATTAGTAGATCACCCTTGAATCATTAATACGCCGAACAAGTTTTCTGTTTCAATCTATGTTTCTCTGAATTAGTTCGTAAAAATAAAGATTAATCCTTTCGCTACGGACGGATTCTAAGGCACGGTAGTCCCGCGGAACGGGCCGCCGCGCCACAAGTGTGCACTTGCGGAAAAACTAAAATCGCCTGCTGTACGTTAAATACCGCTGCATACTATGCAGAGTGACTGTAGTCGCTCGTAGAAAGGAAAGGGTTAACAAATTATCACATAACAATAAGCAAGCATACATAGTGAATACCCGTACATAGTGAACGTCAGGCGTTGGGTGACTATAGTCACCGCTCGTAGCGAAAGGGTTAAATAAACACACTCGTAGTCTGTCTGGAGAATATAGTGCGAAAACTGGAGTGTACATCGCATAAAACCAGAGACTAACCGTTGTTGTTATCATTCAGGACTAATTTGACTGAGTACATAGTGTCAACTGACGTCGTCTGTGTCCATATGATATATTAATAATTGCTAATAATAGTGTTTCTCATTAATATTACATTGTTCTGCAACCTAATAAAGAAATTATCAAAAAATAGTACTTGTGCCGCCATCTACGGCCATATGTCCAAGCTATTAGCCAAATAATACATACAACTAGCACTAGATGGCACCACTGTGTCATTCTGCGTGTGTGTGTGTGTGTGTGTGTAATATGATTAGCGTGCGTAAAAGACCCCGTGTGTGTGAGATGTACTGGGTTAGGCACAGACGAGGTATAGAATAGACTTATCATCTTATGGGACTTTGTGTCGTAAGTTCTGAAATAACAATCGTGCAAACAGTCAGAGATTTTTTGCTGGCCTCTACGTTATAATAAATGAGAGTCCGTTAATTGATCACTAGGAATTCCCCTCGCTACAATGTATCCATCGCACGTGCGCGCACCCTACTCTGACGCCTAGCAAGGAAGGAACGGAATACATACGGCTTGTCACTAGTATCATATTCAGCAACAGTCCCGAGGAAACTTTGATTTTCGCAGAGACATTCCAAAAATTTACAAAAATGAACAATATTTTGATATCAATGGCTTTTGCAAATTACGTATAACGATTGAAGAATTGATATATCACCAACTCTAACAACGAATAGTCACTTCTAAGGACTCTAATTAAAATCAAATCTATCATCATTGTCGATACATAGATTTTTTAATATGTATTACAAATTGTAACAAACATTTGCAGAATTATTAAAAACAGAACATTTTGTTTTGTAACATAAATATTCTTATCAACAGTATTTTCAACGTAAACACTTGTGGCACAATAATCAATAACAATAATTCAATACAATAACAACAAAAATAGAAAAGCAGCAGCCACAATAGGGCGCTAAAACAAATGAAACAATCACAGCCTCGTAGGGCGCTCAACCTATTCACTCTTTGCATTTCATTTACTTAAAAGAAAAAACCGTGAGTGAATCATTCGTTTCTCCGCAACACTAATTTATCAAATATGATATAAAAAGATCCCGAGAGCAGCCACATAGGCGCTTATCACTCGCAACACTAATCATTTGTCAATAACTATCCAAATTCTCAAAAAACGCGATAGGTGCCTCTTTTATTCGCCATTCTAATTTAATGAATCCAAAAATCAAGAAAACTCCCATGCACCTTCAATCTGCAAAACGCAACACTAACTTTAGATTGATGCAGTTAGTGCAGCCACTTGGACTGTCGTGAACCACATTTTGCAGCTATTTCAGCTGCCTTGTGGTTCTGCTGTGATTCCAGCATTGGGCATTTCATGGATCGCAACGCTAAAACAAACCCGATCAATCCATATCGCAACACTAATTCAACAAAAGAAAACGACTATTTGAATCAATCAATGCTGTGAGTTTTAATTCAGCAAG